TGCCCCTGGTCTGCTGGAGACGGTCCCCAGCAGACCAGGGGCACCGGGAGCAGCTTTTCTCGCCCCGGAGGTCAAGGTGGCTGAGCACTGCCTGTGAGCTCCGGGGCGAGAAAGCCCCGTTCGTAAGTGCGGTCGGATCCGCGTAAGTCGGGGACTGCCTGTAGTGCATAACAGCAGAGGATGCAAGGGACATGAATCCTCTCGTTGACTGAAAAAAATGCTAATAGACCAGTTAAGATCCCATGAATGGAAGGACTGTAAAAGAGCATCTTCTTCCACTGCATAGATAACATGCACCCATCTTCAGCTACGCTCTCTCCCCTCCATTCTGCTTCCTTTTTTAAACAGGATGCTCTGTGGAGTTCAGTGGGAAAGGTTTGTCTAGCTACAGAGTGACTGACTGGGAGCGCCATATCCCCCTTTACGTTATCTTACTATTCTACGAGTGGCTCACCTCTCAAACATGTCCGAGCCAGGGCTTTTTGTCTGCTTACAGAATAACATGCTGGGGAAGAGAAAAGCCCTGGGAAATGACGCCATTGTTCAATTTGTCAACTTTCTATTCACACAATACCCTGAACACACTTCCACCCCTCTTCTCCACCCCTTTCCGAGGCCCCGTCCCTTCTGAGACCTTGCTGCTTCCCCGTCACTCCAACAACGTTCCCTCTAATCTTGTCCATCCATTTGCAGATTTTCCATTCATGCACGGAATAGTATTTTATGTGCACCAAGGACGTGTGAATGTCCACCACCAGTAGAAACAAAAAACACCGAGGCAGCGCAGAGTCATCTGCCGCCTCCTACTGGAGCTGGTGCTCACGAGGAGCTGGCTTAAAAGCTGGCTCCCCAGGGACACGGACTCTAACTCCCCCTCCCACCCATCTTGGCAGCAAGAGGAGGAGGGGTGTAGTTGTTAAAATTAACCGATAAGATCAGACTTACTGGTTAATCATTTAAATGGACTATACATCCCTTCTTTCAACACACTGTCCCAGATATGTAAATTTTGATAGGGCTGGAAGAGATCTCAAGAGGTCATCAAGCCCAGCCCAGCACACTGAGGGAGGACCAAGCCAACTTAGGCCATCTCTAATGGGTGTTTGTCCAACTTTTCA